GCGCATGCGTGTTTAGAGGCGATGCTATGACGCATGCGTGTAAAAAAAAAAATGCGGTTAGAGCTTAAAGATGGAAACGCGAAAACGGCGTTTCAAAATCTTCCCACTCTGAAGGCTTAATAAAAAAAAAGATTGTTTACAGACCCCCGAAACGCCGGCTTCGTGTGGATGAGAGGCTGGTTTGGTGAAAAATTTGTGCGTTTAGGCCAGGGTTTGACTTCGTGTGGACGGGGCCATAGATAAGTAATTTTTTCTTAAAATATGTGCATTTGTTGTTGGATTTAGGAGATAAAAGAGACATCTTGCCAATGGAACAAGACAATTTACATTTAAAATAAGAAAACACAATTGCATTGTCTTATTTCAAGTGCATTTTTCTAATTATCTAATTTTAAGATTAAAAATACTCATTCTATTGGCAAACTATCTCACTTACTTGCTTAAATTAAGGGTAAATACACTTAATTTAAGATTTTTTTTTTACTTATTTCTAGATCGTTTTTCCAGTGTGGGGGCTCCTCTTCCCTCCATTAAAGACATTTCATCCCAGCGCTGCGTGTCCCGAGCCCGTGACATCATCAGTGGCCCGTGACATCATCAGTGACCCCTCACACATCAAATCAAGTCACAAATCAAGACTCTGCATCACACTGATAACATCATATTTGCACTACATGGAATCTCTCAAATAGAATTCAACTCAGTGTTTCTACTGCATTTTACCCCATATTAGGGATGCACGATATAATCGGCCCCCTATCGGTATCGGCCTTAAAACTGAATATCGGACATCGGCCACCCCACCGATATTTAACCCGATATTTGATCAGCTTCTGAGTCTCTAAAGTAAAAAAAAAATAAAAAATAAAATACTACTTCTTCTTCTTCCTCAAAAACTTCTTTTTTACAGACTTAAAAACTTCTAAAGACGAGGGAAAAAATATTGATCCATTAAAATATCACAATATCTTCATATGCTGATATATTGCCATTTAAAAACACCATATCAATCTCTTTTACTAATGAAATATTGCTATATGTCATCGTTATGCTACGAAATCCCCCGAAAATTCACGAAATGTTGCCATATTTTTATATGTTGATATATTGACGCGGTATCGATCTATTTTACTAACAAAATCTCACAAGAATTTGCAAAATATCACGAGAGTTTGTAACAGAACGATGAAATTTCACGAGATTTTGAAAGTAAAATAGATCGATACCGCGTTTTTAAAAATGTATTTGATATCAGCATATGAAAATATATTTGAGTATATTATTTTTCAAAGTGTCAGAAATGGATAACAAAACTGCTATTTTCAATGACTACTTATTTTTGTCCAGCTTTAACATCAGTATCGATATCGGTTATCGGCTACATGAGTTTTAAAATATCGACATATCGGATATCGGCCAAAATCCCAATATCGTGCATCCCTACACAAATTCATTTACATTGTTTACATCTTTCATAACTTTGAAAAACATGTAAAATATAATAAAAAACGACAAAAAGAGCAGGAAAAAGGGAGCGGTAAAAATGTTAGGTATGTTTTTAACCCTATAATGCCAAATGTATCATATTTGATACATACGGTTTCTGAAATGTTTTGCGTCTGACACCGTTTGCATAATTTAATGGTAAAAACTTTGCTCAAAATCCTATTGTACACAATCAGATATACCTGATAACAGCCTACACAAAAATAATCTTGACTTATCGCATAGTAATAAATTATTAATATCAAAAATGTATTTCTGCTTTTCTTTTCACATATTTTGTTAAAAGGGCAAATAAGGAATTCAAACCAAAATAAAGTAATTTTCTGTTTTATTTTATTCTTGGATCGGGCTTTGAAAGGTTAACTCTGCAACATGGTGGTTAATTTTATTATTAGACAGATTAGAAAGGTAAAAATTTTAGTAAGTTGTGAGTAAACATTGCTAAGCTACCCTTCACTGTAAAATGAAACCCCCAAAAATGTTGTGAGAGCACATAATAAATTAACTTTATTGATCTCACAATGGAGAAATTAACCCCCTGCATTTAACCCCTCCCCCTGGGGAGCAGTGGGCTGCCATTGTGCGACTCCCGGGGAGCAGTATGGGGTTAAGGGTCTTGCTCAGGGACCCAGAGGGCAGGTTGCAGGGATCGAATCTGCTACATGCAACCTTCTCAGAGCACAAGCGCACTGCTTTAACCCACTAGGCCAACACTCCCCTTATATATGGGGTTAGATGTGTTCCACTATTGTTGGAGCGCTTCAATCCCAGTACAAACATTCACCCTTCATGCACAATACAAATGTCCAATGTTGTTGCTAACATCCATGCAGACCAACAGAAATGCGTCTTTGTTTCTCGCTCCACAGGAAAATCCTTCTCTAGAAGTCAAGATATTGTGATTTTTGAAACACAATTGGAAAAGAATGCAATTCTTAAAAATTAATCTGCAAAAAAAAATTTTTTTTAAATAAAGTTTGAAAAATAAAATCTGAGAAAGTCCCTCTGATTTTTTTTTTTTTTATTGAAGAATTTTTGCTAAAATTTCCTTAATGGATTGATTTTTTTTTTATATATATATAATTACAAAACCTTTTTTTTTAACCATAGTAAAATAGAGCATCTAGCGAGAAGGGAACAGAAGGCCAAAATCTAATTTTCAATGAGGTCACTGAAACTCCAACAATGGCAATTAGCAGGTCGCTTTGGCTGTGGCTTCTAAAACAGCTGCAGGTGCAGAAAAGACAAAAGTCCAGAATTTGATCCAACGTGGCCAGAAGCCAAACAAATGGTTTAAGCTGCAAGGCAAGGACTGACGTCTGATACACTGATCTGTTTCCTCAAAGCATGTAAAACAGATTTTCTTCAGAAATTGTTGGGGAATAATGGAGCTATTGGGTCATAAATGCTTGAATTGAGATCAAACCCAGCAGCTGTGTGATACAATATACCCCCGTCAATCATGCTGCTAATCAGCTGACCTTAATAAGGTATGATGATTGATTATTACCACACATCAAAATGAAAATGGCCTAATATCAGTGGTGGTTCTAGATTAAATTTACCAGGGGGGCAGAATGCTCTCTATGGTGCTTCTGGAGAAGGTGGGGAGGATGGGTGGGGTTTCACCATTACAAACTGATTTAGTTACACTGCAGAACAGATCTAAAAAAGCAATCTTTTTAAAATAATTGCATTTGCTAATTACATCAATTTTGTTGTGTTTGTTTTCAGTACAGGGGCCATAAAATGGCTCCATGTGGCTCCAACAATTTCAGAAAATATGCCGCATAAAACTATACAAACTAGACATCAAACCCGCTTCTATGATCGCCAATGCCTGCTGGAGCTACGGTCACAAAATGTTTTAAATACTGACATTTTGTGACTGTTTATAAAGCTGCGGATCGCTACGGACGGATGTCAACAAAACAACAGCGGAAAATAACGGACGGAGGAAGAGACGCGCCAGACGGAGAACACGAGGCTGCAGAGGGGGGCTAACTACACAGACTGCCGCTTCCGTCAATCCTGCTCTCCAACATCCGCCCCTTGGAAAACAAAATGGATCATTTCCGACTCGAACTCTCTTCAAAAAAGATAGATATGTAACTGCTGCACCATCATTCTGACAGAGTCTTGGCTGCGTCCAGGAGTACCGGACGGTGCTGTTGGCCTGGGGAGGGCTAATGCTGATAAAAACAAAGAGCTCTGCGTGAATGGAGGCTCCTCTGAGACTGTTCCCCGGCAATCTTCGGCATCTAGAGGGGAAGCAAAGCCCTCTGCAGGTGAAAATGCACTCTAGATGCTTCCCTGCCAAATGCTGAAACATCCCCAGCCGGCTCCTCCCGGCCCCTTCCGGCTTCCACACCTTCTCCAGCGTCATCTGTCGCTGCTAAACCTGCCGATGGCACCACTGCTGCTTTAACCACGTCAGCCTCTTCAACCCAGGAGGCTTCCACCCTCACAGCATCGTCATCATCGTCCTCTTCCTCCCCTGAGCCAGGAGAAGCGAGTGCTTCAGGAGCTTGAGGCAGTACTAGCAGCTCAACAACTGCTGCTGCTGACCTTATCAAGGCTGCACTTTAAAAAATGAAATTGTCTAGAGAGCTGTTCTAAACTAAATTTCTTTTTGTTTACAATTGTGTAAACAGAATGACATAAATAAATCTGTCTAAGTCTGTCTAAAAGAAGCTGGGGCTAGTTCTACAGGGGTACAGGCCCCTGATGGCCCCTACTAGGACTGTCTCTACCTATTGTTGAATGAAATGGCATTTCCATGTGGAGGTAACTGGATCTTGCATCCTCTTCCAGTTCATATCTGAGGATAATAAGATACAGCATTTGCTTATTAAAGAGTAAAAGTTATTTTTTAAAACCTTACTTCAGTGCAACACCAAAATGACCTGACCCCCCCATGTGGGAGAAGTCCCTGCCCCCTCAGAGGACCACAGTCAAATGTGACGCAGCTAATGATTTTAAAGCTGTAATCTGGACAATGAGCGCCAGCGATCAACCCAGTGACGTTTCCCACGTGTAAAAAAATCATTATGCGAGCAGGTTACGCGTTGGACTCATTCTGGCTGCGGTCTGTTTCTTGCACTATTTGCAAAATATGTCAATAATTATTTTTGTTTTTCCTTCCAGCTGCCATATTTAGCATTTATGTAAGGGCAACATCTGATATGATGATTGAACCCAGCAATTCCCTGCAGTCGTAACTGCCCCCGCTACAAAGCGCTGTGACACACACAACATGAGATTCCACGTGCGAAAACCGCCTTGTTTATATAAAACGACGGACAGCGGTTTGGACCAATCAGCTGCCGCTATCGCTGTTCCGTAACGCTCACTATGGAAACCTCGAAACGACAACCAATCGGTTGAGCCCGAGGGAGGAGTCTTGAATTGAGGTCGCGAGGCCTGCTCTCTGATTGGCCAGCGGGACGTTGTCGAAGAACTGGGGGGTGGGGGGAGGCGAGCGCCGCCGAGTCAGTCAGTCAGAAGCCGCTTTCCCATTGAGGAATAGCTTAAACCTATGATTCTCATCGGTCTGCTCGGCTTGTTTTGGTCCCTTTTCTCAGACGGAGAGGCGGTTTGCACATCATCGTCACAGGTTGGTCCTCCATCTTGTCTTCCTTTGAGTTTTACCCTGATTTAAAGCTTGTGCTCAAAAATAAGTTGCATAACAAAAAAAAAAAACGAAGTGCGCATGCGCGGAATCCGACTGCTCTACTTTTTTTTACTTTAACACGTTAAAACTTGCTTTTTCTCATGACTCTGTGGTCAACAAAACAATACGCCGGCTAGTTGTAGCCGTTAAAACGAGCTGCCGTTCAAATATGGCACATATGTGGCTGTTTTTTAATCATATCCCTACTTTTACATAACTGTGTCAGTGTACCGTGCGCTGGATTGCAGGTCAACGTGTGTGGATATGAACAGCAGGTCAGCAGCAACTAAATAAAACTATAGAAACACAATTATTCATATTTTCACCATTAAAACTGTTATAGGAACGTATTGATGATGTAATATATGATGTCATTGGTAAAACCTATTTTATTCATATCAGATTAACCTGCTATAACAATGGAAGTGCCACATTTAGCTAAACTATAGACTATTAAAAGTACAGGTGTAGGAATTATAATCTGATCTTTAGTTTCTGTTTATTTGGAAAATATAATCAAATGCTTCAACTTATTTTACAGACAATTTTATTTAAATTGTATTTCTATTATAATCCCAGATGCCTACTGATCAAACAAAATAACCTCTTTCTTTAAAAATAAAACTTTAAATTTTCTACTGAACATTAAATCCAACTGATTCTATTAATCAAATATATTTGTTAATAATTCAGTTTCAATCCTAAAGAACAAACATTATGGCTTCAGCTGAATTACTATAATGAGATTAATAATTTGGATTATCACAGAGATTTATTATTTTTGCATCAACAACAAACAAACATCAACACAGATGTTTGTTTTTTTTTTTGTTGGGGGGGGGGGGGTAAATTAATGATAATATTGGGGTACAAAAAGAAAAAAAAGTTAACCTGTTATTCCAGATTTGTATCACTATTATGAATTATTATTTTTCTAATCAAGAAAATGTGAAATTAGGGATTTTGCTTCTATTTCCAGTTTCATCTGACAAGGTAAATAAAACCCCTCCCAAAATCTGAGTTGTACACATTTTTAAGATTTATAACATTTCTGTAAAAGAATGCACTCCTGGACATGGAGTTCCTAGAAGAAGAAAGCAGCGTGTGGTTTTATGAAACAGGGCTTCCAGCTTTGTGTTGAGCTATAGCTGAATCCATGTGACTGGAGCCAAGTTGTATAATGCTGAGATCTGTGCTAGTGTGCTGCTGGATCAGGGCTCACTCTGGATCTGGACTCCCATGGAAGTAGAGCTGCTTCTTTCACGGCATCACGCATTTCTTTCTCTTCCTACCTGGAGAATTATATCTTTATTTCCATGAATTGCATCTCATCTTTAAACAGAGCTTTCAGTTTAATTTCCCCTGGTGAGAATCTTTTTTTTTTGGAAGACCATCTTTCTGGTGAGTTTAGACCTTTGCTGTTAGTAGAAGGCTTTTTAAAATTAATTTAAGGAATGAAAATGTACAATAATCTTATTTGCTCCTGTTGTTTAAGTTCTTTTGTTTTATGGATTCCCCGTTTTTTGGGGGGAAAATGTGAGTTTGTTGCCTCAAAGATTTAATTGTATACTTTATGCACAATGATCGAGATGCATAATTTTACTGAACAAACTAATAATACCTAAAAAAAAAAGAATGATAGAATATCTACTATTAATACAGTAAAATTGCGTTTTTATTAGGTTAACCTACTTTTGGAAATTTTCCTTCATTCATTCCCCTCAGACTGAGCCTCTACAGTAAATCATCTAAATGACATGAATGTTTTTATACCCATAATCCAAATCCTGGGAATCATATTCCAGATTATTTTAATAACAACACAAAAAGGAATTGTTTATGTCCTAATTTGCTGGTGTCATTAACCTGTTTCGGCTCGTTTTTCTCTGATTGGCTGCAGGCAGCAGCCAATCAGAGAAAATCCTGCCGAACAGCTTGGCTGTTTTTCACTCTCTAAACTTATTATTGGTTAATCTCTGAGGAGTGAGTGTGTAGGAGAGGCAGGAAACCTGCCGGGGTTTAAATGCATCCTAAATGTGAAAGAAAAAATCTATATTTCTAAGAAAGAAATTCGGCTTATATAAAGTGCCAATAATAGACGAGCTGCTGAATGTTGCGCTTACATAAATAACTGTAACCTGATACCGACCAGCAGGAGAACAGGGAAATAGTTTTTGTTTTGGCTTCACTGCCTCCTGCCAGGATTTTCCCAATCAGTCCCAAACAGACCCAAATAGCTCAAAGTTTCATCCTTGCAGGAGACACAAAGGGGCTGCAGTGATCCTGAAATATTAACCTGTGCTGTTTTTCTATCGTCTCTACTTAATCAAACAGATATTTGACTGAAATGTGTTCATGAACAACCTAATTATTAGAAAAAATCTAAATCAAATCCTCTCCAGGTCGGTCCAGAGGAATAAAATATCTGTTTTTGTTGTCTTTTACATGGACCTGCAATATATCAAATAAATATATCACTATAGTTTAGGAAGAAAACAATTAAATTTATTTCTCATAATTAATTGATTGTTCAAATAACCCTCAACTAATTTAGAAAATGGATTTTCAACTGGTGGACAGATGCTCTAAAACCTGATAGAGCAACCCAGTTAGAGCAGTAATTATCCCAGAATTATAAATAATACAAATAGAAACTCCATGTTTGTCATCAAAATGCTCTATCCAGAACCACTGCAGTGGAATAGTTTTATTCTTACCTGCTTCTGGATTCAATTCTACATAAAATCTTCTTGAAGGAACCTTTTGCTGTTTAATTATCAAACAAAAATCCACAGATTAATGAATTAATTAACAAAATAATCATTATTTAAATCTTTACTATAGTTATAATCTGTAAACTGTATCAATTTGTTCTTTTAACTTTGATATAAAAACAAAAAAAAAAGTTGATAAACTCTAAAAAATCCCATTTAAACAGTTAGTTTATCTTTACAGGAGCCATTTTAAAGGTGAAAGCAACAGGTTTAAGGCGTACCAGCTGCTCATTCTATACTGGAAAGGCTGATTTATACTCAGAAACCAGGTCGTCTGCATGTGTGTGTCGCCGTGAACGCAAATGATCCCCGCTCTTTTTCGCCCTCATGTCCCTCCGTTGTCGCACAAACTTGCCCCCACTTCCTCACCGCCTCGGCCGTATCTAGGCCCACAGGTAGTTCCTGATTGGCCCTCTAGCGTTGATGCATGGAATAACATAGCGCAGACTATGCATCAATATTTGGCAGGTTCGTTAGTGCTAATGCTAACAGGTGGTTAATGCTAATCTTTAGCTAAATGGTATAGGCATTTAACCTTTGGTTACTCTACAATTAATGCCAACTTTGTGTAAGGCTAACCTTTGGTTAGCATTAACCAACATTTACCTGTTTAGAAGAAAAGCAGTAATCTCTGCTTTCCTTTCCAAAAAGTTAAAAACAAACCACTGGACTTTGTTTTCCAGGTCTGAAAAAGTTTCTCTTCCAATCCAGGAACCTTTTTAAATTCAAAATGCAAGAATTAGCATTGAGTAGTAGATTAGCCCAACAATGCCTTGTTATGGCTTAAAAAACATGCAAATTGAACCGAAAGAGGCTCAGCCTATTGTCCGCCCCTTAGTAATGGGGATTCGTTGAGGTCATTGTTGGCCCGGCGGACCAGGCGGGATGATTTGGTCCATGCGTGGAGATGGGGGGTTGAGATGATAGGGGGAAGGAATCAACTTTATCGCTGAATTATAGGTTTTTGAAAGCTGGAACCTGAGTCCATCACCTCTGTTTAAGGTTGTTTTTTTTCTCTCTGAACATAAATGGCCTTCTTCACACCCCTTTCAAACCACCTGTCTTCCTTGTCCAAAAAGTCAACATTCTGCTCCTCAGATGAACGTCCTTTGTCCTTAAAGGAATAGTACACCCAAAACATGATTAGCCTTCATTTTCTACTCACCCCCATGCTGAACAACACTCTGGAGTACTTTTTTGATATCTCAAATGCATCTGGAGATCTGGGAGGCTTCTTGCTGTCTGCTGACATTCAAATAATGGAGGTCTATGGCGCCCGAGGCAGAAAGGTCCATAAAAGTCCACAAAAACGTGTCAATATTCCTCCATACTGCTCGTCCAATGTATTCCAAGTGTCCTGAGTGGGTAGCGTCCATAATTTACTGGAAACGATGTCATTTAGAATGTTTTTAGAGCATAAACAGTAGTGTACAGGATTTCCTAAAAGCGCGTTCACGAGTCTACGGAAACCGCGGCAGACCAAACCAGACGAAAGTGCGCATTCAGCTCAGCAAAGAACTCATGCTCTTCCTCAACACTGAACTCCTCAGACATTTTTCTTTCGTTGTTTCTTTGTTTGCACATGTAAATAGCACATTTCTTCTTCAACGCTTGCATTATTGGCAGAGCAGACGCTGAATGCGCACTTTCATCTGGTTTGGTCTGCCGGCTTCCGTAGCGTCCTAAATGCGCTGGCGTGCGCTTTCAGGAAATACTATACACTACTGTTTATGCTCTAAAAACATTCTAAATGACTTCGTTTCGAGTAAATTCTGGATGCTACCCACTCAGGACACTTGGAATACATTGGACGAGCAGTATGGAGGAATATTGACACGTTTTTGTGGACTTTTATGGACCTTTCTGTCTCGGGCACCATAGACCTCCATTATTTGAATGTCAGCAGACAGCAAGAAGCCTCCCAGATCTCCAGATGCATTTGAGATATCAAAAAAGTACTCCAGAGTGTTGTTCAGCATGGGGGTGAGTAGAAAATGAAGGCTAATCATGTTTTGGGTATACTATTCCTTTAAAGTGTAGATGGTCAGCCAAGTCTTGTCTGGAGGACGTAGCCCATCTGTGTTGAGCTCAACAAAGACGGAATGAGGAGCTCAACACTAATCTGACATTTTGAATTGAAAAAGCTTCCAGGATGGGAAGCGAAATGTCTTCAGACTTGGAAAACAAAGTCTAGTGTTTTTTATTTTTAACTTTTTTGGAATGACTATGACGTGGATGACTGAGAATCTTCACCAGCCCTCTGCTTCCCTTCCATAAGTACTAACCGATGCTCGATAGCTTGACCAATGTTTTTATTTTCTATTTATTTTAATTACATCATGGATCTACTAGCATCTGGCCGCGCCTAAGCTCCGTCTTGTGTGTCTTTAACCTACTGTTCCTATTGGTGCAGAGTCCCGTCTTGTTTATGCTGGCATCTCTAACCAGAAGTTAATGTATATATATTTCGGACCCACCAATATGGATTACTGTCTACATTTTATTCAGAATATTAATAATTTTATTCGCCACTACTCTAGATGGACTGGTGAAGTGTTATTACTGAAAAATAAAATGTTTTTATAGAAAAGTTGAGGCTAGAAGTGGAATAAATGACATTTTTAGCCTGAGCTATTTTGCTAAATTAGCATCAGTGTTGCTTATTGTCTCTGTGTTTCATCTTTTTTTAAAGTTACATAATCACAGCCAGCTAATATTATCAAGTTAATCCTGCTTGGGTCGATGCTATTATTACTAGCTTTGACCGTTTCTCCTTTAATAATAGCTTAGCGGCTTACTATCCAGCAAAATGACCAGCTGTGTGAAGCAACAGGTAGGGGAGGGGTCCTGCTGAGTCTCTTTTGCCCTCATTTTCCTCGCTGTATGCAAACCTTTGTTGTTTAGAGGTCTTTGGAGTGTATCACAGTGTCGAGGGGCTTCAATCCTCTCAGAAAGGTTAGATGTCAGGCTGCTTTCAAACGGCGGCGGCGACGGCGGCGGCCTTTCTGTGAAATGAAGTGAACTTCACACTGTTGTCCTTTCATTTGGTGTTTGCTCTTTCAGCGACGCTGCAACCGCAGCCCGTCTGCTCATATCAAAGGGAGCCAGCTGTAGATTTGCTGGATGGTTTGAGATGATCCTTATTGATTGTTTCCCTTTTTAGCTGTTTCTTTATTTTAGATTAATGGAAGTGCGGCTCATTGTAGAGGGTTTGTATCGCCTAATTTAATCTTTTTCTTTTGTCCTCCCTAGGATTGAACCTCAGCAGCTGAGACGTCGACTCTCTTTTCAACGCACTGCTACAGGTTTCAGGCATGGCCATGTGGAAAGTGACATAACCTCACATTCTCTGCCGGTTCATGTCTGAGGACAGCGACTCAAAGCTCTATCATTTCTCCGCTCTGGACGGCCACGAACGGGTCGGTTACCGGGCTGAGGAAGAGCAAGGCCACCCGCGTGGCTCCATGAGCCAACTACACCGTATGGCCAGCAGTTACGGCGAGGGCTGCGGCGTGCAGGACGGGGGGGAGCTAGAACCCGAGTTAGGACTGGCGTCCGAGGGGAGCGACAGCGGACACGAGCACCCGGCCTCTCTGCGCTCCCCGCACGATGACAGGAAGCGCCAGCGGACGCCCCTCCACGAGGACGTGGAGATGGGCGGCTCGAGCGGGAGCGGGACGGAATCCCATGGCAACGAATCTCACGGAAACGAGTCCCACGGCAACGAATCCGTGGGTAGTGTGAACGGCAACGGGAAGGATTCTGCTATCATAGAGTCATCAGGAAGCAATAAGAGGTGAGTGCTCATCACGCACTGAATCACCCCGAATCCTGCCTGTTCCTCCCCCCCCCCAGACCAATTAGGTCGCGGAAGTGAGGTCGGTTGGAGTTTCAGATACTGCTGCGTCTTTCCTCCTCATTGAATCCGGGTCCCTGGCAAGTGAGAAATCCCATAAACCTTTCAGATCGACTGAGTTTGTTTAAACAAAGATAAAGAATCCCCTCGGAAAGCTCAGTGAGGTCATCAGATAAATCGGGTTCAAACTGGTTCTTCTGCAGGAAGTTGGAAGTAACCAGCCCCCCTCCCCACCCCCCACATGACTTTCATAATTATCTCTTGTTACAAGAGGACCCTACCTGGCTGGCCGTTACGTAACCAGCTATACTTTCTCCTTCGTGTCGCTGACATGAAAACAACAGGAAACACGTTTCACATGCTGCAGTCTGCTCAATCTGAGACCCCCCCCTCAAAAAAAACAAAAACATTTCATAATAGATTATTACAATTATTAACTTGGAAGTGGGATTCATATCAAAGAAAGCGTTTAAATCTGCTTTAATATCTTCCCAAAGTTCATTCTAATTTAGTAGTTTTTGTCCAAGAAAGTTTTATCTAGATTAGACCTGAAACAGTTAATCAGATTAATCGAGATTAATGGATTATTGAAATAATTATTAAGTAATTTAGTTATCGATTAATCATTAACTGGAGTATAGAGACTCTAAAATGTGCCTTTAGTTGACATAGCGAACGAGTTAGAGAAGTAAATATATTAAAATAGTAAAAAAAAATAATAATGATAATTTTTGTATTTAGAGCTACAGTGTGTAACTTTTAGCGACATCTAGCGGTCAGACTGCAGACTGCAGCAACATGAACATCTCCCCCCCACCGCTTCTCCCCCCCAACAGTACGGCGAGCGTTACGGGACAAAATGTCTTCCACGACGTCCGCATCACCTACCTTCTCAAGTGATGAGGTTTGTTTACATAGATAATTTTACAGATAGTATTTCATTAGTCTGTGTAGGGTATAGATTTCATGTAGACTTAAGATAATAAATATACCCGTTATTTCTTCTACATCGTTGTGACGTTTTGGCGATCTCGCAATCGCTAGTTTGTTGGCTCTGCGCTGCCGTAGCGCAAAGATGTCTGCCTCCATGGCTGCGAGACCCGCTCCTATGTAATTATAAATAACGAATTCTAAGGCAACGCAAATATTAAGGTTAAGAGGCTGAGCTCGTAGATGATGATAAATAACATAGTTATGTATAATATATTACATTTCTGACTGTATATCCCTGTAATTATTACACACTGTAGCTTTAAAATAAAAAATAAAAAGTATTCTTATGTCAATCTGCTCTATCTGGAACTCCTCAAGTGGAAACGTTTTAGTTTTACTTGGTTTAATTCTGCAAAAAAAAATAATCTTAAAGAGACCTCAGGCTATTTGATTATTAATCGATTAATTAACAAAATAATCAACAATTTTCAAAATAATCGTTATTTTTCAGCCCTAATCTGGATTTAACCTTCAGCAGAAGTCAACAGGCCTTTTGGCTCCGTCAACTAAAACGCATTCTGCACCTTTTATGAGTTTATCAGGTTCCCAAACATTTTACATTTGACTCCAAACATAAACTTCTGTATCATTTGTTTCATTCAAACAAAGGAAGAAAATGCACAAAAGGCAGCAAGAATCGGCGGCACATATCAGGGATTAGTTAGGTGGATGTCTAAATTATCGGCCCTAATCAAGAACCCGTATCGTTTGATCTTTATGCTACGTTCAGACCGCACCCAGCAGAAGCAGCAAAGTTGCACATGCTGCTTCTTTTTTAATGCTTTTACAAGTTTAGTTCTGACAAGTGGCTGAAGCATCTTTGCTGTGAAAGTGATTCTGATGCGCGTTGGGCGGAGCTACCCTTTCTTTGCCTATATTTGCTGTGATCAGTGGGTGAAAAGTAGTTTTAATATGTTTTTAAGTGAGAAAGTCCTACAAACTGAAGGCACCTGGATAATAAAAGACAAAAAATGTTTTGCTTGCAAGTTTCTTCATTTAGGCGTTAATAAACGGTTTCAGAGGATTGATCATAGCGCTCTGCATCAGCAGTGCTGCGTCCGTCTCCCTGCCAGCTCCCAGATCAGCTTCTCTGATTGGTTGATGTGGCTCGTTAAGCAGTTAAAGTTGAATTTTTCCAAATTCAGCAGCTGCTTCTGAAGAGGGTCAGATGCTCAGAGGTTCATGAGGAGCTGCTCATGCTGCTCAAAACGCGCCGCGGGACCTTTTGCTGTGCCTTGATGCGCGTCAACCATTGACTTTGCACGTAAACTATCTGCTTCTGCTGATTCTGCTGCTTGGGACTGAACGTAGCATTAGAGCTGACCCATGAATGCAAATCAGTGTGCAGAAAAGTTTGTTCTAATTGCAGAAATTTCTTTGTTTGCCTAAAATAACATGACCTGTTGCCATTTGTTACAGCTCCAACTCCCACAGCCCGTCTCCGCCGAGCAGCTCCAACGCCTTCAGCCTGGTGAGCTCCGAGCAGGACAATCCGTCAACCAGCGGCTGCAGGTAAGTCCTGGATTTCTATCATTCTCTCTACAGTTCTAGAAATCTCGGCATGTGGAGGATCCACGTGTTTCCAGTCACACTATAAATGTAGAGTGCGACATCTTTGGTGAGACCTCGTCATTGTGACACCTGTGCATCTCTCTCTGTGGCGTCATGCAGCAGCGAACAGTCGGCCAAAGCCAAGACTCAGAAGGAGCTCTTCAAGACTCTCAAGGAGCTCAAGATGCACCTGCCTCTAGAAAAGAGGAGCAAGGGCAAATCCAACACCGTCAACACGCTCAAATATGCGCTGCGGTGTATCAAGCAGGTTAAAGGTAAAACACGCTCACCCCAGCTTTTCTAAAAAAACATTAAGAAAACCAATGTTTGTGATCAATTAGGATCTGATTGATGTGTTTGGATTCCACAGCTAATGAGGAATACTACCAGATGCTGATGATCAATGACAGTCATCCCCCTGGCTTTGACGTGTCGTCGTACACCATAGAAGAAATCAACACCATCACCTCCGAATACACGCTGAAAAACACCGTAAGTCCGACGGTAGACTTCAGTTTGAGATTTAGGAACAAAATGCAGCTCAAAATAGATCACCGTAAAATGCAAAAATGGATTAACTTAAAATAAGTCTATTTTTCCTTTAGAAAAAAATCTTATTTCCTGTGAATCATGTGTAATAATTCTGTTGACAGAGCACCTTATTTATTTGCTTAATCAAAGGAAAATGTACTTTTAAGACATATTTATTTAATTTAAATTAGGTTTTTTACATTATCAACAGCTCTGTGCATATCATTCAGGGCTCGAGGTTAACCATCGCCCGATCGCAAGTTGATCGCATGTTAACCATCGCCCGATCGCAAGTTGATCGCATGTTAACCGTCGCCCGATCGCAAGTTGATCGCATGTTAACCATCGCCCGATCGCAAGTTGATCACATGTTAACCATCGCTTGATCGCAAGTTGATCGCATGTTAACCATCGCTTGATCGCAAGTTGATCGCATGTTAACCATCGCTTGATTGCAAGTTGATCGCATGTTAACCATCGCCCGATCGCAAGTTGATCACATGTTAACCATTGCCCGATCGCAAGTTGATTGCATGTTAACCATCGCTCGATCGCAAGTTGATCGCATGTTAACCATCGCCCGATCACAAGTTGATCGCATGTTAACCATCGCCCGATCGTAAGTTGATCGCATGTTAACCATCGCCCTATCGCAAGTAGTTTTTATTGTCGGGAGAGTACAAATTTCATTGCAATTGCCCGCCGGGCAATGATCGCAACAAAAAAAAATATTTATCACTCAAAATTACGTTAAAATCACCGACATTCGCTGAAAACGACCCACAAACGTTGCCGGCGCCATCTTTGTTGTTTTGTACACATTCTCGTGTGATTTTCCGCTAGATGGCGTGATTCAGCTCTTGGGGAGAGAATTCTGCAGAGCAGCAGCTGGATGATGAATTTAATCTATACTATAAAACACGCTAGATTAAAAATGATCAGTCAGGGATTAGGAAAATAATAATAATAACTGTATGCGCACAGTGTAAATATTTCTATCTTATGGCAGTCTTTGTGCAGTGGTCATACATTAAAAAATGTTCATTAAATTTTTTTCTCTTAGACATTGAAGTGGTGCAACAGTTTAAAGCAAAGTTTAGTTTGGAAAGAATGTGCAGGAAGGATTGAAAAGCATGTTAACACTGTAATGTAGGCTTGAGTTCATTATCTGACGCATGAAGATACACACCAGGAAGCTGGACACTTAAAAAATACTGAATTACAAAAAAAAACATTTAAAAAACAAACATGTTTCATTGATATATATACAAAAATGAATATTAGGAACTATATTTATTAGGGATGGAACGGTTTATGAAAACCGTCCGAACCGTTCGTTGGAGATCGTGGAGGGAAATGCGCCAGATGATTAAATTCAAAGCGGCAAAACATGCGGAAATGATCCAGGGTTTCCGCCGATCATTAAAAATAATTACAATTCATGAATTTTTTTTGGATTTTTTCATTAATTTCAGTCATTTTTATGAGATTTCGGTGTAACAATCAACATAAACCGAACCGAACCGTGGATTTTTGAACCGAAATATTTATCAAACATTATACTGGGCAAGTAAAAAAAAATAGGGCTGGTTTCATGAATAAATTAATTAATAATCACAGTTATGGAGCAAGCTAATTTCGTTGAGAAACACGTTGAGAAACAATGTGGCGTCTTGTTTTTTTTTTTTTTTTTTTTTTTTTTTAAAGGGTTTTATTGAAGTCTTATTTAGAGGCAATAAACTCAAAAACAAACTCCTGTAGAAATACGGGAATCATTCTTTTTGGAAGTGTAGGGGCGGGCTGAAAAGATGGTGGTTGTTTATTTGCGTGAGGAGGAGAAATAACCAGATATGCACAGAAAATGCAAAAATCTGAAAGCTAAAAATGTCTTTTACCTCATTTTATTCTCCAGCAGCTTTTAAACTTTAACAACAATGAAATGAAATTGATTTTTAGCATTTTTAAAGCCATAACCTTTTAAAAACCAGCAGCATCTCGAAGGAAATGGTCTCTTTCTCCTCTCATTTAGGAGTGAGCGGGTTCTAATAAGCCTTGAGCTGAAGCTGTCTGACCATTTAATAAAGAACAAGGCGCCATCAGGAAACTTTCTGGTTAGCGAATAAATGCTCATATTTCTGCCCCTTAGGACATATTTGCTGTAGCGGTGTCCCTCATCACGGGGAAGATTGTTTACATCTCGGACCAGGCTGCCTCCACCCTGAACTGTAAGCGGGAAGTTTTCAACAATGCTAAGTTTGTGGAGTTCCTGACGCCGCAGGATGTCAGCGTGTTCTACAGCTTCACCACGCCGTACCGCCTCCCCTCGTGGAGCATGTGCACCGGAGCAGGTATGTGGAGAATGGAGGAGCTTTCCCTGCTTCTTGCACCGTGTACTTAGATCATACATTCCTAATGCCAAGAGAAAGCACGTTGCAGATCCACATGAAACACAACCCAGCGAGCACCAAACGCCCACATGCTAATGAACACATTGCATGTAATTAATTAGCCGGATCATTTACATATTTTCCAGCACATCCACCTGTCCCATCTAAACTGCTAACGCACTCTTAACCGTAGATGGGGATAAAATGTGAATATTGATGCTGAGCAGACTGGAAGCGGTGCAGATGATCATTTGTTGACACTTTCTGTCCGTCCGTTCCTCAGAGTCGTCTCCCACGGAGTGCATGCAGGAGAAATCCTTCTTCTGCCGCATCAGGTGAGCCACAGAGACCGCCGCTGCTCTGATCCATAGTTTCCTGCTCAGAACAAACTCTTAGTCAGAGCAGAGGAACACTGGAGGAGGAGGGGGACTCAAGATCTGCTCCCCTCCCCCGCAGTGACCTCGGCTTGGTATAATTTCTGATTTTTATGTAGTAAATAATGAGGGTATAAAAATTGGATCTATACGGACGTATTAAATGAGCTGTGATTGAGTGGAACTAGTTAGAACCGTGTGTCTATGTTGCAGTGGGGGGAAGGAACGGGAGGGGGACCTCCAGTACTATCCTTTCCGGATGACGCCCTACCTGATGAAAGTCCAAGACGCGGAGCTTTTGGAAGAGCAGTTCTGCTGCCTCCTGTTGGCTGAGAGGGTGCACTCTGGTTACGAAGGTAAGAACTTAGCTCTACAGGCTATTTTTTATCAATACGTTTAAGTATTTTCTATATATTTAATTTTGTACATAGATAGTTCTGTTTGCTAACTAGCTCTGTTTTGACCAGCAAACTTCCCCAATTGTTTAGCCTGTCATCCGATAATTCTTGTCAAATTTAAGGCAACTTTTGGCAAATATATAAAGGAAATTATGCTTTCTTCAAAGCTAAAGAAAAACACTCGGCTTCAAAGCGAAGCCTCTTCTTTTATGACGCCGCCGTATCAAACGGTTTCTGACGGCTGAGTAAAGTCACATCCATTTTGTTGCCAAACAACTGATTTTCCGAATTTGGACGTTAGCATAAAAATGAGAGGTTGTTGCCCTGTGCAGATTAGCTGCTAAAAAAGCCGCTTGGGCTCAACTTTTAGCTAAAATCATTGCGCCGTGCTTCTGATTGGAGGAAGTGGACGTCTGTTTACAGTGCAGGCGCAGCGTGGTTAGGGTAGCCGCTTCCTGGAAAGGCCGGATCATAAGTATCATAAGGCTGCAGAACTCATGAGGATTACTCAGAGATGTAAGAATGAAGCTAAATAACTCTTGATTTAAGGTTTTAATGAAGAAATAAATGGCATTACAACGGTTAAAACTTTTTGCAAGATATAGACTCTTTAAGTGTAACAGTAGCTCATGTGAAAGTCCAAATATTCTCTGTTCCTCCTTTTATTCCATGTCCTATTAGCCCCTATACATATATATCCGATGCTCGCTGCTGTTTTATGTTTGATCAGATTAAACAGATGGGGAAGCCTCATGCTTTGAAAACATGTATATTAGCATTTAAGTGACTTTTAAACCTTAAATTTATGGTCGTTTTCTCTCTGCTCAGCTCCCAGGATTCCTCCAGACAAGCGCATCTTTACCACCACACACACCCCTAACTGCGTGTTCCAGGACGTGGATGAGAGGTGGGTAGACTGGAGCCGGTCTATGAACGGCCGTGTTGCTGTTGTTGTGCGGCTCCGCAGTAAAGCAGCTGTTTGTGTTCGTCCATCAGGGCCGTGCCTCTGCTGGGTTACCTTCCTCAGGACCTGATTGGGACTCCCATTCTGCTCAATCTGCACCCAAGCGACCGGCCATTAATGCTGGCTGTGCATCGCAAAAGTAAGCAAAGCTACATTTTCCTTTCTGAAACTAGGATGATGCTTTTTATGTCCTCATTTTTAAATCTAAACAGGTTACATTTTCTTTAAAGAAGTGTATTTTCCCTTGGTTGAACAGATAAATAAAACTATTTGCCAATGGAATAATTACATTTTAAAAAAGGAGAAAAACAACTTCACAATGTTATTTCAAGTGCAAAATATCTAATCTAGTGTTGATTTAAGGGCAAAAATACTGTTTCCATCTGTGGATGTTCTTATTTACCTCCTCAATTCAAGGACAAATATACTTTTTAAGAACTTATTGCTTATTTTTAGATCTGTTTTTGCTGTAGGAAGGAGTTTTACTGGAGACTTTGTCAATTCTCACAGCAGAGTCAACAGTTTTCCTTCCACTTAAAGCAGTTTGTGGTTGACGTGACTCTGATGACTGAGAATTTATAGGATTTTTTTCCTTTATTTTCCCTTAACTCCAGCAGATAAGAAAATATGCCAGTGGAATAAAATGATTTACTGTATAGGATCTTTATTTATCGCCATCTAGAGTAAAACATCTAGTTTAATTATTTTAAAGACAGAAATACTCATTCCATTGGCAGCTCATCCTATTAAACTGGCAAATACTCTTATTTGACATTTTTTCCTCATTTTTAAATCCGTGGTAGCAGCGTATGAACAAGGGCAAGATAGTACTGTGAAGATGACACATGGTTCTCAAATATTTGACAAACAGATAATGAATCATGAGGGGCGCAATAAGGCTGGGGGGGTAGAGCAGGTGCTCCATGTGCAAAGGCTACGCTCCTCGCCGCAGTTATCTCCGTTGTCCTCCTCGTCTCTCCCTGCCCTTCCTTCTGTGCAGCTACTTGTTGACGAAATGCCAGAAAAAAGCTTTGATAAGCTGCATTAGAAACAAATCCCTCTGAATTCACCTAGATCCAGACTCATAATCTAAACCTGTTTTCCACACTTTTCTTATGGTTGTTTCTGGGTTTTTGTACCAATCAGTTACAATGTGACAAATTTTATCAAAGTATTCCAAAAAAAGTTAAAAACTGGACTTTGTTTCCAAGTTTGAAGACGTTTGACTTATGATCCAGGAAGCTTTTTCAATTCACAATGTCAGAAATAGTGGTCAGTTGCTTTATACAGTAGCCTGGTTTTGGCTTAGAAAACATGCAAATTGAACCGGATGAACGGGTCCACCCCCTCTGATTAAGGTTGTTTTAAGCAGCGTAAAGGAAGCCCTCTGTGTTAAGAAAGAAAAACCAACCTTAAAGGCATACTATGCAACATTTTTCAGTTAATTAATGTGTTCCATAACGTTTTGGATGATTAAATGAGTCATTTCAGGTTGAACAAAGGTATTCTCAGCCGCCCTGGTGGTCTGTAGGGGAAATACCATACTTATTGCAGGAGCCCTCGGCCCGCACCTACAGGCTCAGAAGTCTCGTGCATCGCGAGAGTCGGTCTTGCTTTACGGCGAGAACTTGGCTAGCTACAATCTTTGTTATTTATACACATGCATAACAAATAATGTATGAAAACATGCTAAATTTTCAAACTCGAAAATTGGAACAAAATAGTCACTTACCGCAGTAGACATGGTGATTCGTTGCGTTCGCCTGTCTGCTAAGCTCAAAACAACCGCGCCTGGCTTGACGGAGAAACCAGGAGAACAGCTGAGCATATTTACGACAGTGCACTTTTACTTTCGCCCTCTGGGGGGAGCCTCGCTGGAAAATCAACACCGCTTGCATAATATACATTTAAACGAAGGGGGTGGACTCAGATTTCAGCTTTCAAAAACCTAAAATGCAGCGATTGAGTTAATTACTTCCCGCTATCATCGCAGCCCCAAACCCTTTACAGGGGAACAGAAAACCTCCCCTATTCAGCCAGGTTAACAATTCCCTTTAACGAACCCCCCTTTCAGAGACATAGACAGGTATGGGGCATTGCAGGCTAACAAAAGAAGCAAAAAGACCCCCGTTCCAAAGGGGTGGACCCTTCATCTGTTTCAGTTTGCATGTTTCTAAACAAAAACAAAGCTTTGTTGGGCTACTTTATAAAACCTCGAAACTCAACACTATTCCTGAGATTTTGAATTGAAAAAGCTTCCTGGATGGGAAGAGAAACATCTTTAAACTTGGAAACAAACTTTTTTTTGGAATGACTATGACCTGGATGACTGAGAATCCTCACCAGCATTAATAAAGTATATTCATGGTAGAATGGCCTAGTCAAAGTCCAGAGCTGAATAAATGGTGTTATTAAGTATAGATGAGAAATTGAGTCACGTTTTATGTTGTTAAAACCTTTTTACCTTTGCGCTGTGCTTTAGATTATTGAAAAACATGCAAAAGTTTGTCCGTTATAGTTTTGCATTCAATGGTTGGGTTGCTGTCTCCTGTTGCAGTTCTGCAGTGTGCCGGTCAGCCGTTTGACCATTCCTCGATCCGGTTTTGTGCAAGAAACGGTGAATACATCACCATCGACACCAGCTGGTCCAGCTTTGTGAATCCCTGGAGCCGGAAGGTGTCCTTCGTCATCGGGCGGCACAAAGTTCGCATGTGAGTACCTCCATCGTGTTTAAAATGTAGCTCTTTCCTTCGTGAAATCTGTGGATAATCCTGACGTCTCTGTGGATCGCAGGGGTCCTGTCAACGAAGATGTCTTTGCAGCGCCGGCTTTCCACGGAGGGAAGATGATGGATTCAGACATCCAGGAAATCAGTGAGCAGATCCACAGGCTGCTGCTGCAGGTACGTAAACACAACCACGCGCCGCGTCAGCTTTTTACCTTTCAAACCGGTCGCTTCCATTAACCATCTGCCTCCTCACAGCCGGTTCACAACATGGGCTCCAGTGGCTACGGCAGCTACGGCAGCAACGGGTCCCACGAGCAGCAGGTGAGCATCAGCTCCTCCAGCGAAAGCAACGGGAACGTCCCAGCAGGGAGCACGGCGGAGGAGACGGGCAAAACCAAACCCTCCAGGACCTTTCAGGAAATCTGTAAAGGAGTCCACATGCTGAAGAACCAGGACCCTCACGTCTGCATGCGCACCTCGTCAGTGTGGCAGTCCAAACCGGAGCAAAGAAAGGCCACAGACAGTAAGTTTAGTGTTGTTTATTCTCATAAACCTGCAGCTGAGAGGTTACTTCACTGTCCTGATGAGAGTTCACGTAAAGCTTGAATGCTGGGTTCACACTGAACGCATTTTGACGATCAGAGAGGCGTCCTGGTCTCGTCTCAATATAGTCAAACAGGCATCAAGACACTTTTTTACGTCATGGAGTAAATCATTTTTCTATTTCTAATTTTTTTATTGTGAAAAACATTTCATAATATTACACATTCAGAGTTTTTTTAAAGTTGGAAATAACACAAACAATAACCCACACACAACAACAATAACAGGCCACCCCCACCCTCACACAAACACATAACCAACCCAAGGACTTACTGATCCATTACACTGCTGAGGCAATAAGATATTATGGATACAAAACAACATCTTTACATAATCAACCAATGTCCAGGAGAAGCGGATACCGAATCTCCTCAGTGTTCAGCCAAGATGTGGGAGTTTGGAGGAGAGCTGCTGTCAGCTGGATAGATTCTAAGAATAGATTGGTTGGAAAAACAACCAATCTAGTTGGTTAAAACTAATTTGGTCCGAATAAACAATGTAATGATCAAAACCTGAGCAAGCCACCGGAAAAAGTCATTTTCCTCCTTACTGTGATGATCTATATAGGTGGCATCTGTAAGAGACAGGCTCTCACTCCAGAGGTTGATGGTTCAAGACCTGTCTTTGACTTTGAAAGTTGCCTGACTGAAAGTTGCGATTAATCTTAATTATTTTGGCAGGTAATTTGCATTGCTTTGCCCGAGTAAAAATATAGATTGGCTAAATTAGGTCGGTTTAGCTAAAAGATTGGTTGAACACAACTTCCAACCGGATTAAAACCAAAAAACGTAGAAAAACTATCATGTTTGAATAAAAATGACCAAATCCTTTCATTTTGCTCATCATTGCCTAATTTGCACAAACACCTTCACTAGCTACGTTTACATGGACACAAATAATCGGATTGAAGGCCTGATCAGATCAAAAATGTTTCATGTAAACATGTCAGACTGAAGATTCTAATCCGATTCGGTTCGATCGGATCTAAATTTAATTCCGAATGAGAGAGGTGGTTTTTGCCGATCGCCATTCCGATTGGCGTCCATGTAAACACCCATTCGGATCTTAAGAGTAAAATAATCTTCACTGCGCATGTGTGCGACGTCAGCGTGACGTTTTTCCGCCTTGTCAACGACAGGAAACCACCGGTCGCTCTCGCTCTCGCTGTGAACAACATGGCGGGAGGAGTCTAGGAACGCCGACTTATACACTCAAGTTCATTTAAAGCTGCAGGAAGCAGGAATTTATTCACCTCTTTTCTCTCTCCACAGCCCACTCGCTCTCCCACGCCGGTTCAATCGCTCATTCTCTACATTTTCTCTCGTACATTTCGCTGCCAAGCGCTTTTTTCCTCCTCTCTCCGTTTTTCTTTCCGCTCGCTCCGAGCGCATCGTTTGTCAGGCCTCCCAAAAACCAGACGCAGACAGAACTGCCAAGTTTGGCAGGAAGTTCTGCGCATGCTTAAAAGATGTAATCTGATCCAACGCTTGGTACATGTATACACACGTCATGATCGGATCATTTCATTTAGTGTCCATGTAAACGGAGATTTTGAATTTCCGATCAACCAAGGTTTGGATCGGATCGGGGAAATTTTGCGCATGTAAACGTAGCTACTGTCTACTTGAGTTTTATGATTGTTCTAAGAAATTTTACACTTAAAAAAATTACAAAAGATTTTATTATACACACCAACCATTAACAATTTCAAAGGAACCTAAAAGGGGGGTAAAGAAACTGTTGCAAAAAAAAAAAGCGCAGATTTTATTACAAACTGTAGTTCTGCTTTCCACCAGTAGGTGGTGACATGTTCACATGAAGCCTCATGAACTGTGGGGATAGTTGAAGCAATTTGGCCAAATGGTTCAATGCCTCATGAGGCTTTATCTCACCATCACTAGTTATAGAGCGCATACCGTATCATTTCTAGGTGCAAAAATCAGATAATTTAATCCAGCCACATTTTAACAGTAGGAGTCTCACTTTTTTTCCCAAAATTGTAAGAGTAGTGTCAGAGGTTTGGTTGAGGTGCAAATGCAAAACATACCAGAACCATGGAGATACTGCACAAGGAGAGTATTTATGGAAGACTGAAGACGGGACTAATGAGCCGATTGGGAGCAGGTGTGAACAGAGGATTCTAGAAGGAGAGCAACACAAGAGGGCAGCAGAGGGCAAGCAAATAAAAACCTAAGAACTCAAATATATCCAGAAAAACACCAATAAAGCTAGAAAACAAAGAAAAACATGGATCAACGTGAAACTGAAAACTCACAGAAAACTTAACAGAACCAAGACCGTGACAAGTAGTTTCTTAGCTGTAATTACCATGTATGATAGCAATTTTTGTCGGGGTACTGGGAGTGAATTAAACTTACCATCAAAATTGGATCTGGTTGGAGTGAAGTCTCAAGCATGTCTGATATTGATTTTCAATACCTGGACCCTAATGGTAGAATCTTAGGGCAAAGATAGTAACAGAAGTAGAGAGGCTTCATCTGCCATAACATTTGAGGAAAGTGTTTTTCAAGCCTTCTGACTCGTGTTCTTGGTCTCTATGTAGGCAGATGCGGTAAAGACAGTAGCTTTTGCTTTATTTGCTGTAATAAGTGGAGAATAAAGGTGGTTTTAAGATGTTTAAAGCAAGAAAGTACGCCTTAAAACAGGCATGGTTTCAGAGGTTTCTCTGCTAAAGCACAGCTGATTCTGATGATTGCAGTTCAGTAAACGATGTAATCAATGTAAATCAGCCGTGCTGGAGCAGGGAAACCTCTTAAACCTGCAGGACAGCGGCCCTCCAGGACCGATTTTGGGGATGCCTGCCTGAACATAATGAACATAATCCAGTTAATCAAGATAATGATCCTGCCATTAATCATTCTGTAGCTGTAGAACCCCGCGTACTAGCAGGGAGCCATCACTGAGAATCTGCAGGTTCTCGTTCCTGACTCTCCATCTCTTTCTTCTCTCTGCAGCTCAGAGGAGCTCAGGGGTCCGCGTGAGAGACTCCGCCCCTCAATCACACTACAGAGACAACGCCGGAGCCAGCATGGACGACTTCACCTACAAAGACCAGTCTGTGTGCTCCTACCAGCAGATCAGCTGCCTCGACAGCGTCATTAGGTGTGTGACCGACATTCATGGTCAATCTGAACCCCCGAGTCTCAAACCTCTGGACTCTCTCTTTATTTAGCCATCTTTTATTCTCGCTTCAGGTATCTGGAGAGTTGCAACGTCCCCATCACAGTGAAAAGGAAGTACCAGTTCTCATCAAACACCACGTCTTCAAACTCAGATGACGACAAGAGGGGCTCAGAAGATGGAATGCAGGCGCCTCAGGGCACGCACACAGGTACGGCGACTTCTGGTGCACGCATCAGTTAAACCTTTTTATCAGTCGCTCATCAAAACACGTTCTGATGTCCTGCAGATCCTTTGATGCTGGACGCCCAGCCTGGCCTGTCAAACATGAAAGCGCAGAAGAAGCCCCCGTCCGGGGCCGCCGCTGTGGTGGGGGGCACCCTGGCTTCCCTCGCTCTGCACAGCAAGGCTGAAAGCGTTGTGTCCATCACCTCGCAGTGCAGCTACAGCAGCACCATCGTCCATGTAGGAGACAAGAAGCCTCAACCGGAATCTGGTTAGTTTCTGTTTGTTTTTTTATCCATTTGAAAAGTGTCACCGAGCAAATAAGATAAAAAAAAATCCAGAATGTATCAGTTGTTGTGTTTGACATCATTTTTCGATGTTTCAGAGATCATCGAAGACGTTGCAGAGAGCCCAGCGCCCCCTGCTGTGCCGGTCAGTATGGTGTCTCCACCCAGCCAGGAGAAGGAGGCCTACAAGAGGCTGGGACTGACCAAGGAGGTGCTGGCGGCGCACACCCAGAAGGAGGAGCAGGCCTTCCTGAACCGCTGCCGAGAGCTCCGCACGGCCAGGAGCTTCCAGAAGGAATGCTCCTCCTGTCTGCTCAACCAGCGAGGCGCAGCCAACGCCGAAGGTACTCCACGTTCATCCTGTTGTAAAAATGGATTCCTCTCTGGTTTTATTGATTTGAACACAGATTGAATGCTTTTGATTTTCTAATCCCTGGAGGCAAGTTAATAATCAATGAATTGATCTAAAGTCATAAAGGATCTTTCCATATTTTTCCCAAGGCTGGGAGATGAAAAAATTAACGCATTTTAATCGCACACCATTACATAGATATGTCAGGGGTTGACGTTAAGGATTTTTACCGCTTGCCCTTTGGGCAAGTGACTTTCACATTTCATTTGCCCGGAAACAATTTTTACTTGCCCAGTTTAATGTTTGATAAATATAGTTCCTAATATTCATTTTTGTATATATATCAATGAAACATGTTTGTTTTTTAAATGTTTTTTGGAATTCAGTATTTTTTAAGTTTCCAAGTTCCTGGTGTGTATCTGCATGCGTCAGATAATGAACTCAAGCCTACATTACCGTGTTAACATGCTTTTCAATCCTTCCTGCACATTCTTTTCAAACTAAACTTTGCTTTAAACTGTCGTGTCCTTGGAAAAATATACATTTTAATGTTAAAAATCTAAAAAAAAAACTTGACAGGTTAAAAACTTAAGATAAATAACAAGACAGAATTCAATGTCCCAATGAATAACTTTTATTTTAGAGTCACGGTATGTTTATACAAGATAATACTATTAATATAATGTGACTTTTCTAGAGAATCATTATTTTATTCAGGGTTTCCACAGTCTGACATCATTTCAGAATTCCCTGACTTTTAACTGACTCAGGATCAGTTTTCCCTGACAAAATAAATGCGTCAACAAGACAATAATAATAACATAACAGGTCACCAATCTAACATGTTTAGCTCTATAACATTTAAATGCACCTCTCCAATGTCTAAGAGAAAAACATTTAATCAACGTTTTTTAATGTATGACCTGCATCACTGTACAGAAGACTGCCATATGATAGAAATATTTACACTGTGCGCATGGCATACAATTATGCCAATTTTCCTAATCCCTGACAAATAATTTTTTAATTATATATATTAATCCAGGGTTATCTGGGTGGTGGGTAAAATAGGTGTTGGTTGTGTTACTGTACTTAGATATTTTTGCCTCGTTTTTTAGCCTGCCAAGTCGAAAAAAATGTGTCTGATTCGCGCCAATTCCCGGACAAAAATCACGCCATCAGGCGGAAAATCTCGCGGCTTTTTCAAATCACGCGGGAATGTGTACAAAACAAAAAAAATGGCGCCGGCAACGCTTGTGGGTCCTTTTTTAAGCGAATGTCTGTGATTTAAAAGTAATTTTGAGTGATAGATACATTTTTTTTTGCGATCATTGCACTTGCCCGGCGGGCAAATGCAATAACTCATGACAAAAAACTTTTCTCAAATTTTATTTTATTTTTAAATTTTTAGTTTTTCTGTTTTAGGTTTTAAAAATGTATATAAATGTATTCCATAGAAAACTGCTTTGACTGATTTAATTATTATTTTGTTGACCCCTGCTGGTCACATGGAACCCTCTAAAATACATGAAGGTTTTTGCTTCTTTGTAAAGTAAAGAATCTAAACTCAATGTTTGTTTAAACCCATTTTCTCTTTTTGCGTTTGTTCCTCTAGACTCGCCTGGTCAACAGGGAGCTGCCAAACCAGGTCTGACCAGGCCAGAGACGACGGCGAGGAGGGGCAACCGCAACAGAAAGTCCAAGAAGCCGCGATTGAAGCATCCCGACTCGTCGGACAGCGCCGTGTCCAATCGCAAACCCCTGCCCCCACTTCAAGGCCTCAATCAGACATCTTGGTCCCCGTCTGAAGCTTCCCAGTCAGCTTTTAACGTGTCCTACCCCACCATGGTGCCTGCGTATCCGCTGTACCCCCCGATGCCTGCCGCGCCGGCCCAGGGCTCCCGCCCCGACGCATCTCTGCCCTCCGCCTTCAGAGAGGGGCAGAACGCTCAAGCTCCCCCGCCTAGCACTCCGTTCCCGACTCCGATCGTTACGCCTGTGATGGCTCTGGTTCTGCCCAATTACCTGTTCCCCCAGTTAGGACAGTTGAATCAGATGGGCCAGCTGGGCGCGGCGCCGAGGCCGGCGTTTTTCGCCGAACAGACTCAGCCACAGCCGGCGTATTCTACCCAGCAGGCCTTTCAGACGCCTCAGGCGGCGTACCAAATGCAGACGCAGCCTTCCTTCGCCCCCCAGCAGCCGTTCCCGGTGCAGTCCGCCTTTTCTCCGCAGCAGCCTTTCCAAGGAGCCCAGGCCCCCTTCATTACCCAGCAGCCTTTCCCAGCCCTTCAGACCGCCTACGCTACGCAGCAGCCCTTCGCTGCCCAGTCGTCTTTCCCAGTTCAGACTTCTTTTGTGGCTCAAGCCCCTTACGCAGCGCAGCCTTTCCCCTACGCCATAGCCCCAGAGCACCCCAAACCCCCCACAGCTGAGCCCAGAGAGGGGGCCCCTTCACGCTCCTCCCTCCCCGCCTCGGGGGCCAGGGAGCCCACCACGTCCCCTCCGCTGTTTGAATCTCGCTGCAGCTCGCCCCTGCAGCTCAACCTGCTTAGCATGGAGGAGGGACAGCGTTCGGTTGAAAGGCAGGACAGCACAGCGGGCCCGTCCGGAGGTCAGGGCGGCGCTGCAGCGGCGCTACCGGGGGCAGCAGGGGACAAGAGCGCGGGTTCAGCTAAGACTGACAATCACCAACAGGTGAGAGAAGAAAACCCAGAAATCCACCAAAAAAAGTTTAAATAACTCATCCTGAGACTAACGGGTACCTGAACACCTCGGTTTGTCTGAGCAGGAACCCAGAGGAGACGGAGCTCACAGCGATGGAAACTCCTCATCCTGCAATCTGCTGGACATCCTGTTGCAGGAGCAGGAGGACGCTCACTCTGGTACCGGATCGGCCACCTCCGGCTCCATGGGCTCCGGTTTGGGTTCCGGATCTGCATCCGGCTCTGGCTCCAATGACTGTCGGACCTCAGTTAGCGGAGCGTCTGGCAGCCGAACAGGTCAGTTGTTGACATATAGAGGCTTTTTAAAGCAACATGCTGAAATTTTAGCTTCATTTAACATAGAACAGATGATTTTTCAGGTATTCAGCACCCCATGAGGGCTGGAGCAAACCTCTCAAAAACTCATAACTTGACAGTGTCAGATCGCTCAGGTAAAGAGTCATGTGACCCAGAGCGCCCTCTAGCAGGAGAGCTGGCTGAGCTAAAGGTTGTTATTAGCCAACAAAACACATCCGACCCTTACCTGATCAGACATATCAGAGAGCTTTGTGCAGCAACTCATTTAATGTGCTGTTTCCAGTTAAAGGTTATTTGTTTTCAACTTTTCCCCTCCCTCTTTTCCGTTTTTCTCCTCTTGTAGGGAGCAGCAACACCAGCAAGTACTTCGGCAGCATCGACTCTCTGGAGCATGACCCCAAGAGGAAAGGCAAATTAAGAAGCGAAGGAGGCTCAGAAAGCAGCAAGTCCCAGAACAAAGCCTCGGTTCAGGGCGAAGGGGAGCATTTCATCAAATACGTCCCGCAGAAGCCGCTATGGCTGCTCATGGCCAACGCCGACGATGAGGTCATGATGACGTATCAGATGCCACCCAGGTGGGTTACTGACACGTCTTCTTTGTGTTTTTTGCATAGTTAGATTTTTTTTAACCCTTTCATTAAACCGCTTGCACACAGGGACATCCAGCGGGTGCTGAGGGAAGATAAGGAGAGGCTGAGGCAGATGCAGAAGAGCCAGCCTCACTTCACCTCAGAGCAGCGGAGAGAGCTGGTGGAGGAACATCCCTGGATGAGGAGAGGAGGCCTCCCTGCAGCTATCAATGTGAAGGTTAGGATCACACACGGCTCCGCCCCCAATCTACCCACTGAACGAGATGCAGCGGTAACAGGCTGTGCGTCTCTTCCTCAGGAGTGCATCTACTGTGAGGACGCCGCAGCGGCAGCTGGACCCATTGAGGAGGATCTACCCGACATGGATCTGGGCGAGCTGGGCGACGACCTGAGCAGAGAGGGCCAGAGAGGCCAGAGCCAATCAGAGGAGCCTAAAGCTCAGCAGGATCATGGCTCCTGAACGAGGGGGAGCGATTCCAACATGGACCCTTTTAGGCTCGCATTGACATTCTGGCTGTGCGGCTGAGAATCCGGACGGAAAGGCACACCATGAGAAGAGCGCTGTGTTGCCATAGTGATCCAGGAGGAGGTGTGCCAGTGGCGTGTTTGTTTGTCTGTGTGTTCTGCCCACGCGCAGTTCCTGATATCCCCCACCGGGGGGTGGTAGAGCGTTATAAGAGCTTTGTAGCCTGAACCTACCTTTAGTATTTCTCCCATTTCACAAACAAAAGGGTCTCTGAAATCTCTTGGCGCCTTTTTATGGAGCTGTTTTCCCTCTAATCAGATACAGGGCATTTATTCTCATACAGGTGAAGCTGAAGCTCTCTAAACTTTGTATTATATCTTAGTAATATATAAAAATTTTTCTAGATATTATTTTTATAAAAAAAAGTGTTAAAAAAACTCTGTGAAGCGTTTCCAGTTTCCTGTTACACGTCCTGCTGGTGTTTGATTCCCTGCTGAAGCCTTTAAATCCCATCAACCCCCCCCCATCAGGAATCATGTAAATTAAATTAGTCGACGGTTGTTGGATGTTTCATTAATAGATAATTTTTTTTACTATCCTTGGACCTCAGTGTGTGAAGTATATGATAGAGTATACGGGTCACACTGATACAAATATTTATAAAAGTTTATTATTTTTTTTTATCAGTTATGAAAAATGCTCCTAATATTACAAGAACTAAGTCATAATATTGGGTCTTTAATATTAAATAATCAAATTATAAAAAGGATAAACATGAATTTTAGACTACAGGGATAAAATTGTAACATAAAGAGATTAAAGACGCACTTTGAGTACCGTAAATTCCGGACTATAGAGCGCACCTGATTACAAGCCGCACGCTCTAATTTTAGAGAGAAAATCAATTTTGTGCTTTTATAAGCCGCACCGGATTTTAAGCCGCAGGTTTCCCACGTTGTACGAGATATTTACAAATAAAGATGAGCATTTTTTTAACGTTTGATTTAATCCGTATGATAAAACAAACAAATACGGTACATATTATGAATCCTTTTTTTTTCAAACTACCTGTAACACATTTAAATATACGTATGTGTCGCTACCCGTACTTTTAATTGAACGACGCACAGAACATTGCAGCCGACCAGGAAAAGTCATTAATCACTTTCTTCTTCCTCCTGCGAACTAAAACCCTCAAAGTCCTCTTCCTCGGTGTCTGAATGGAACAGCTTCAGGATGCCGTCACTGACTTCAGTCGCTCTCACTTGGGCGCTTGCGGTCCTCTTCATCCCGCAGCAGCCCAAAAAACATGTATTAGCTGCACTGTATTATAGGCCGCAGTGGGAAAAAAGCAACGGCTTATAGTCCAGAATTTACGGTAAATTAAACACCAATTATTAGGAGATCAAAGCGGTAAAAAATAGACGTATCCCAAAAAAACCAAACAAATGTGTACCAAGTTATCAGAGGTGTATTTACATGAATGCCAACAACAAAATACAACATTATAACATTTTCTAAAAGTACTTTAAATCAGTTATATCTTTCTTCATCCATGCTGGCTCAGATCCTGACGTTTGAAAAAAGAGGCAGGGAAAGCAGGATAAAGCCTTAGCCTCGCTGCATGCTGTTAGCCTAGCCTTGTTGCTAACTAATTCTATAAACCTGTCAATCAGCTGCACTTTATGACAGACGTCAGCGCTGTGGTGGGAGGTGGAGTGAAAATAAAGCTGCTTTCAGCTCTTCAGGAAAGCTGCTCCCCGGGACAAACATTTAACCGGAATCTATGCGCGAAGATTTTTGCGCCCACGGCGGAAACGCGTCACCAATCCGACGACGAACAAAACATTTTTACTCATCATTAAAGATTAAATACTGATCTTGCAGATCTAAAAAATATATTAATATATTGTGCAATATTTAAGTTTTATAATTGAAGTTTGTTTATGTCTTTATCTAGGTCATTGTGTGGGTCAGGCGGCGCCCTAGCGCCCTCTATTGGCCAGCCGCTACTGAATGTTATAATAATGCAAAAATAAAGACGTAGCCTGCTTTAAAAAACTCAAACACTGATCTCAGGCTGCAGTCTGGTCGAGTTTGGCTGAATCAGAGTATTATTCTGATCAAAACCACTTTTTGTCTGAAAAAATAAAACCTTAACCCTGATATTAGTAAAACTTTATTTTCAAAGTATTCCTAGTAATATATTATGACTTCATTCTTGTAATATTACGACTTAATTCTTGTCTCAGTTTGGCCTTAATGCTGCGTCACAAAGGTCTGAGTAAATATTGCAGTATTAGCAAGACAATGTGGGAATTCACCTCAGTGGTGACAAAATCTATTTATTCAATCTATGTTTTTGTTATTTTCAGGTAGAAATCCAAAATAGACGTTTACGCTAAGGCCAAATGAGTTCTAGTTTAGGATAATAAACGAACACTTTGACTGTAAGCACTACAGAATGTTTAGCGTCACTTTGACACCGAGGTTCTCATCAAAGCCAGAGAAGCTGCCAAAAAATATATTAGCAGTAAAAAACAATAATATATATTTAAAAATTATGTTTTTAAATAAAAGTTTTATCAAAAGAGGCTCAGTTTACAAATTTTTTGTAAAGATTGAGGTTATAAATGTGCAAAATCTCAGCCTAGGGGAAATATTCCTAATGTTTTTATGGTGTTGAACAGCATTGTGTGAACAAACGGGTGGGAGCATCATGCACAGCCACAGGGTGACTGACAGCGCCGACTTTTAGCTTTATTTTCCCCCCTAATACAGAAACCTAAAAACGTAGCACTAGCTGAGTCGCTTTATTTTTGAATAAAGTTGGAATGAAAAGGCGCCAAGTCTTCGGCGTGCGTGCGTGTTTGTGTACGAATGTGTGCAGCGATGTAGCTGAGTACTGTGAAAAGCTGCGGCTCATTGTGGCGTTCGACGCCCATGATGGCGTCTTCAGCGCGGTGGGGAAGACATGAACAAGTGTAGCACCTTTTCTTTCCCCTCATCAGTCATAGGAAACTGTACCGCGCAGCTGAGGCTGTTTAGGACCCCCGGGAACGACTGGTGCTGCCATTCAGAACAGCTGGGGTCTGTGAATGTAACACAGGCTGGACCAAGAGCATCTTTCTCGCTTTGTTTGTGTGCTTTCCTGTTTTTTTTTACTCTATTTTTCTATTTCCCCTCATTAGTGTTTTATTTTGTTTTTGACGAAAGTGAAAGCTTTTACAGCACCGTCAGGGGACGCACCCTACCTCTAAATAAATGCCGGGTTACTGTATGTGTACTGTATGATCATAGGATACGTGTGAACGAGGGAACAAAGCACTGAGTGATTCCTGAGACTGATGGCGTTTGGTCTGCTGCCTTCTTTCTGCCTGAAAGGCACAACGGACAGAAAGTACATCTTTCCATTAATTTATTTCTGTTTAGCTCACTTCATAGGGGCCTCCAACACTAAGCTATTTGTGAAAGATGCAGGAACGTCAGAGACGTTATTAGAAGCTGATGTTTTATAGTCATGTCAACGTTTTGTCTCATTTCCACTGTACATGTTTGCCATTTCTGGAACTAGCACACTTCTGTGCATTTTTATAGCTGAAAAAATGTTTGAAACTTGTAATAAAATGAAAGTAATATAACTACTGTGTTTTCCTTTTGGCTTCATAATGTTCCTCATTCCTAAACCATGTAGAGAAAAACTTATTTCATTTACTTTTTTAAATCATCAGCATTATAAAAGAAACACTTTAACCTTTGACCCCAGTGTTAGCTTAATTTTAGATCTATGGAACGATTTCTCAGGTAAATATTCAGCTTTGGGTCCGTATAATTTTTTCATGCAACCATTTTAAGAGCAAATTCAAACTAATAGTTTAATTGGAATCCAGGAAAAAACCTTTATTATAGGGATGCACGATATAATCGGCCCCCTATCGGTATCGGCCTTAAAACTGAATATCGGACATCGGCCACCCCACCGATATTTAACCCGATATTTGATCAGCTTCTGAGTTTCTAAAGTCTAAAAAATAAAATACTACTTCTTCTTCTTCCTCAAAAACTTCTTTTTTAAAGACTTAAAAACTTCTAAAGAGGAGGGAAAAATATTGATCCATTAAAATATCCCAATATCTTCATATGCTGATATATTGCCATTTAAAAACACCATATCAATCTCTTCTACTAATGAAATATTGCTATATTTCATCGTTATGCTACGAAATACCCCGAAAATTCACGAAATTTTGCCATATTTTTATATGTTGATATATTGACGCGGTATCGATCTATTTTACTAACAAAATCTCACAAGAATTTGCTAAATATCACGAGAGTTTGTAACAGAACGATGAAATTTCACGAGATTTTGAAAGTAAAATAGATCGATACCGCGTTTTTAAAAATCAATTTGATATCAGCATATGAAAATAAATTTGAGTATATTATTTTTCAAAGTGTCAGAATGGATAACAAAACTGCTATTTTCAATGACTACTTATTTTTGTCCAGCTTTAACATCGGTATCAGTTATCGGCTACATGAGTTTTACAATATCGGATATCGGCCAAAATCCCAATATCGTGCATCCCTACTTTATTACCTTAAAAAATATGGATATTTTGATGGATAAAATGAATGTCAATGTAATATAATAACAGGAAACGCCAACTTGCCCAAATATATTCATTATATTAATTTCATTATAATTATATATTATAAAAATAACAAAAGTGCTTCTAGAAGAAGAGGAAAAGACACATTTTTGTTTGGTCCAACATAACCTTAGAGGCATTAATGTTGATACTTTCACATTTTGTTAGTTTATAAACCTAAATATAATCGTTAACTAGTCTTATTAACATTTTAACTTTACTTGTTAGCTTTTCAATTAGCTGTTTACCTTTTTTTTTGCTTGTTAACTTTTTTTCGACTTAATTTCTAGTAGGTAATATATCAAATGTGTCAAATGCCAAAATAACATGTACAGCCATGTAGCTGCATCTTTGCTGAATGGCTGGATATAGATCTAGTGCTTCTAGAACTCACTGAGGGAGGGGGGGGTCCATTTTGTAAGGGGTATGCAAGTGATCATAAATGCTAACTTGCCCTTTAAAGGGTTAAAAACTCTCCTATGTAACTTCATAGAGGGTGGTCGACAAAGTAATCAATAGTAGTACTTGGGTGTTAGGTTTATTCTTTTATACATCATGTGCATTGTTATTTTATTAGCCAGATTAGACAGAGTAGAAGGCCTTCCTTCACATTGTGGATGTCACTGTGTGTACGGAGGTCACCTCATCGAGACAGCCTTCGTGTCTTTTAAAGATACACAGGATATGGGCAGATCTTGGAGCCGTTCTGATAGAGGAGAGCTATCTGTAACCCTGAAGCATAGAGGCAAGCTGCATGAAGTTCAAGACATGGATGGCGCGTC